AACATAGTTACCCACAAATCCTTCTTGATAGGCTTTGATCCTCCAACAAAGAACTTAGTACCCATTTTCTGCATGTGATCCATCACCTATAGGTAAGATGGGATCCTTGGGCCATGCAATATATCTACATCTTCCAGCACCTGTTCAACATTCACAACAAGCGGTGGCGCAACTGGAGCAGGCGTAATAACTGGTTGTCTCGCCAAAACCTGAGCCGGCAAGCCCATCACTACCTCCAGTCCAACAGGAGTCACAGCAGCGGCCACCACATTCACATTCCCAACATTCTCTACATTCTGGACTTCCTCCTGATATGCAGCCACATTCCTTGCTGTGGCATTACTAGAAGTCTCACCAGTTTCCCCAACATTTCTTCTTTTATTTCGATTACTCTTAGCCATCTACAATGGCCAGTTCAGATAAGTTAGGCCAGCACTAACTTAATGTTTCACACAGAAACACAGACTTACCGCGAGACTTCACACTTCGAATGATGGATTTACCCACTAACTCGTTTACGCTAAGATTATCCTGGAATTGACCACACTCTGGTACCATATTGAAACACCCTGACCCAGATTTTCTTATTCATGGTGAGGTTTCATACTGGCTGCCTCGGCCAGACTCGCTGCGGCGGCCAGACTTAACTAATTTTTAGAGTTTTTCCATACTTAACATTTTCTCAGATTTTGATTCAATTTTAGAAAAGGCTTTTCAAGCATAAACATTTACTTAGATTAAATCGCGATGTTCAACTAATCAATTTGCTAATAAGCTATTACATTGAAATCGACGTATCTATCCGATTTAATCCACTGTCCTTCCCTTTCTAACCCTAGTCTCCGCGGCTCAAGCATTCAGATTACCTTCACGGGTAATTTATTTTTCTGCCTCACAAAGGAGACAAGCAACATAATTTCTTAGTGAGAGTGGTCGTCCCATCCCACTTAGGTACAAGTAGATATCACAACCAAACAATCATATCAGTTAGTCAATCATGCTTATTAGATCCATCATACTAGACTTAGGCTCACGCACTCAACTTAGTCACTCAGATTTGATGTTGCTCTGATGCGGTTTGGTTCTGAAAACTCTTATCGCGATGATCCATCGAACACACTGTCCTCGATCAGCTAGATTCCCACCGACTCGTTCGTCGTTACCCACAGAATCGAACGATCTACACGCACTCGAGCTTTTCTCAGATTCTCTCGATTTTTCGTTGAAATCTCTCTTAGACTATCTCTCAAATTATTTCTAAGTCTTTCCTCTGTTTTCTCAACGAAAAACAAAGTTCATGGGTAAGTTTCGCATCGAGAAATTGCCTCGGAATCGCCCAGATAACCGTTTTCGCCTAATTTTGCGTCCAAGGCTCTGAAGTAACCATTCCCACGGTGTTCATTAAAATCTAGCGTGTTTCGATGATACCAAAATGCCTTTATATATTTTTCTTAATATTCCTGCTCGGCTCAGACAGTCCACCATGTAACCTCTTTGTCCGAAAGACAAGTTGCCACGGTAACCGTCTTATCCGAAATCTGACCACGCATCCAAAAAATCTGTCCAATTCAGATTCAACTGCCAAGCTCAATTTAACTTCCATTTCACTTCTCACGGCAAAACTACCCCATGCGCCTCAATCAGCTCGATAATCTTAGTTCACAGTTGTTAGTCCGCGAAACACTAGCGTTACTGATATATACGATATTTTACCTATTTTTCTTATATTTTCAATATGTATTTAATAAATAAATGAATGGTTTTTGGAGTTAACATGCTATTGTTAGCATTTTCGTGGGTTTTGAAGTCAATACAGGCTTTTGGAGTATTTTGGACTTAAATAGAGTAAAATCAAGTCTTTTCAAGGAAAGACAAATCTTGACCATCGGATATTTCGCCCCAGATGAAGGAGTTTCCACCATCAGATCAAGCTCATATTTTACCACAACATAGAAAAGGATATCAGCTTCAACAGGATATTCGATCGCCACAATCCGACGGTTAGATCTTGAGATATATTCAATCTAAGAAAATTTGTTCGAGTAAAGATTAAGCTAAAGGTAGTCCATAATATTCACATGTGATTGACTGATCATCATAGGTGATCGACCGATCACAAATCCACTATTTTTTACGGACAAACGCATTAACACAACGATCGACCGATCACATGAGGTGATCGATCGATCGCCAAATCCGAGAAAAATGGAAATTTTTCTTTTTCGACGTAATCTCCAACCCCTCAAGGAATTTACCCTAAAGTCGACTTCTCACCTATATAAAGACAGGAGCAGCCATGACATTGATGAGGAGGCCGCACCTAAAGCTTCACCCCAAAGTTTTTCATAGTTTCTTAGTTTTTCGATTGTTCGATTGTTCTAGACCTTTGTTCGATAAGAGAGAAGATTTTATCTACTCATACTATTTTGGAGAAGTTTTCTAAACCTTTTAACTACTGTTTATATTGATTATGGATTTGCTTATTGCTTTTACTATGCTTTTCATCTCTATGATTGAGTAGTGATCTGTTGAGTTAGGGGATGTTTCGATAGGAAATTCATGGCTTGATAAATAGGATTGTTGGTTTGAGAAAACTCGGTTGCTTCAGTTGCTTGAACTTGTTGTTACTGAATGATTAGGATAGCTTCTAGAGATTGAACTTGGATTGGTTTTTACTTGAACATCATTTGATTTACCGGTCGTATCTAGTTTAAGTAAGCTTGGTTTCACATAATTGCGAGAGTTGTGTGTGAGATGGAGTGAACATATCAAACCCGAATTAGAAATTGCATCTTTAGACTTAAGATTGTCTTGCGAGAGTTGAATGATTGCATAGTTTGAAGATAGTTAATTATCGCTGTGAGAGTAGGATGATTATAATACTCCTTCCGTTTCAAAATATAAGTTGTTTTTGAGGTTTTTTTATGTTTTAAAATATAAGTTGTTTTGATAATCCTAGGTGTTTTACTTTATTGACTATTGTGTGACCAATAGTATTTTGCAGTTGTTTTTTATTAGTTAAATTATTTTTATTATATATATAAGCTGATACTTTTTTTGAAAAAAGTAGTTTTTTAATATTCGCACTTTTAGTCAAAAAAAGCTTACATTTTGAAACGGGGGAAGTATAATGGTTTGAGTTCATGAATGGTGAATCCTGAATAAATTAATCTGTAAGAACTCCTTAGTACCTAATATTTAATTAATTGATTTGCTTATTATCTATCGTTGCTCGTTTCAATTATCACATCTTT